TAGACATAGACATAGACAAGCATAAGACATAACAATAGACATGGAATGGACATAGACAACTGTCATAAACGTAAACCGTAAAGGTGCATCTATTGTTTTTATTATATCTTCCCTGTTCCGTCCCATTTAGGCACAGTCGCACAGCGATTGTGTCCTTGAATGCTCGTGACTCCTCTGGCTCACGTGTTCCACGCGACGTTCTGGTTGTCCGCGCGCTCATGCATATCGCGTTCAATAAATTCATATTGAACCGCGGGTTGTACGTAGGCGCCGACGGGTCGATTTTCGCGCACGTACGCGTTCACACCTGTGCACGCCCTCTCTCCGCTTCTAAAATTCGTCACGAGTAGCTGCGGTTAGCAACGTTCATGTTGTGATAAACAAGCACGGGGCAGACACGAACACCACAAGGCAGTCCGACGCAGCAAGCCATTTCGGAACTTGCCTTCGTTAAGTGAGGACGGGTAGTTTAATCTTGTGCGTTCTTTCGATTGTCGACTTCATACCATAGATAGACAGGATAGCGAATCGAGCGGTAAGTTTGTTTCAAGTTCACACTGTATGGTTTGCGCGATTATATTAATGCGATTATTATCAACCAGCGCAGTACGTGTGTTTACTGTTACGTTCCACGAAGACTGCTATCGTTGCTATAAAAATGGTTTATCAAGTTATTTGTCCCGATTCTGGTAGGTGTGTAGTGGTAGAATGTGGATCCGAACGTTTTTAGTCTGCACTCCGCGCTGAAAAAACCACCAGATATTTATGCTCCTGCTGCATGTAGAAACACGAGTCAGAGATATTATGAGTTTATTGTGTATCGAAAGAAATCTACCTCCGATCCACGTGCCTGTTGTGTGTAAGAAACACTATTAGGAAATCACGTGTGTATATTGTGCATCGAAAGAAAAACATCTACCAGCGATTCATTTGCCTACTGCGTGTATAAAAAGCTATGCCAGAAATCACGTAAAAATGGTGTATTGCAAAATTACTGCCAGGAAATTACGTGCCCCTGTCTACTACTACTACCATGAATTATAATAGGATTGTGGGACACAGTGTTATTAATAACCAATAGCATTATGCCCTATATATGAAGATAGATGAAGTTAAGTAGGAAAACCGTCGAAAGCAGCAGTAGCGAATAAATGCATGTTTAAATTACGTTTAGCTTCACTGTTAATTCCTGGCACTGTACCAAAGCTCTGTGGTTATATGTATAAAATATAAGTCAATAATAACTGTCTACTGGTGATTTAAAGGAGATGCGGGAATCACTAACTATTGATGTTGACCATGTGTAAACAAAATCTACTTTGAATATACGTGTAATATATTTTAACCAATTGCACAATTATATTTGTAATAACTTTTGGTGCATATATTGGTGAAAAAAATGACGCGTGTGTTCTAATATAGCGTGTGTTCAAATCTGACGAACACGTCGGTCAGTATGCTAAATAGCAACTCGCTGAAGTTGTCAAAAGGCGTCGCAGCGGTGGCTATTTTATATTGTTGTTCGTGCATGTTGTATTGTAAAAGCTTGTGCATTTACTGGCGTTATAGAAGGATGTAGTGATCGACATCGAACGGGGAAAGGTGTTTCATTTCATAGAATACCTAGTAAATCAAAATATCCAGTGAAACACAATTTTGTAATAGATCATTAGATGATAGCTCTAGTACTGTCTTAGTGTCTATAGCCCGCGTACAGTGACTGCCGCACTGAACGCGCGCTAGCCTATAGTATAGTACTATATACTACTAGAGCTATATAGATGAGAGCAATACTACCCTGTTTCATGTTACATTAGATTATTAGTATTACAGGCAGGTGCATGATGTGAAATTACATATTTAACTTGTTATACCATGCACCATTCGTTCCGCACATATAAATTATAATACTATTAATAGTTTACCGACTTGGAAATTTTGGCCAGCAAGTTAGCATTTTTGATCCAATTAGTATATTGACGTTAGTCACACAGCCTGGTCGGGTTAACAAGCAAGATGTTCAGTGTAGGCCTACATTACCAAAATTGTTTAGGGGGTCATGTGTATTGTTAGATGCTAGAATGATGCTATTGATTGTGCGGAGGTGTTATGAGGGCGCACTGCAATGGCAACTAATGGTTTGTGGCTAGACATGGTCAAATTGACAAGCACAATAACACTCAAACTCTTTGTGGGTATATCGCAACTGGGTCGGTGATTTTTATGTCACGTGTATGTGGTGGTCCACATCCGACAATTGTAATAAATCAGCACCAGAATTATGATTTTCGGTATCTTATTGAGTATCTGTGACTTAGATGGTCAGCTATACGGGGAGTTTGTCATTATAAGCTGAGGATTCATGCGAGTAAGAACAGCATTTACTCGCGGCCATGCAGACAGTCCGAGTCAGATGAGACGTCGAAAAACGAGGAAAGCTTGCCTGCGTCTGTAATCCACGTTGGACATGCGAGAGCGAATCAAACATGTCAAAGTGCCTCAGCACCAATTAGGTCAATGATATGTTTCCCATGTGATCAACATCATCACTATTTCTCTGGGCCACTTGTTAATTTGGCATCCTCGGGACTTGTCGATGTTAAATAAAGGGAGAGAGAGATAGATTAGAGTAGAGAGAGTATATATTGTGAGAGGAGGAGTGCGAGTGAGTTGAGTGAGAGTGAGTGAGGTGAGAATGAGTGAGTGAATGTTATCTTGAAAATTAATCTATTTATACATGTCAGTGTGTTTTTTCTTCATTTCGCCATTTGTCTATTTACAAAGTTATGTCGATATAGACCCAGTCTTACAATATGAAATAATAATAACAATAAT